GCGAGAAGATATTAGTATCACCAACCAGATGGCGACTCAATTAAGTACATTTGTCAAAAAGCACGAAAAGGTATGACGTACTTTCAGCTGATCCATGGATTCTCAGGATTTGGCCAGATTTCAGCACATTGAAAGCAACGTTGCCAAAATCTGCAAATTTTCGTTTGTTTACTGCGCAATAACTCTTCAATAGACACGAACCAAGCGATTGACTCGTGTTCTTCATAAAACAACACATTTTAATACGCATCGAAATGTCCGTTTGTGTGAGCGAGATAGCGTTTATTCTGAAAAAGTTGGTACGCAAAAACGGTACACAGAATTGTTGATTTCTAAAGTGTCACAAAACATCCTTGCAAAAGCACCATTTCCATATAAAATTGAACTTGCGGATCTCTGGTTGTGTGCAGGTCGTGTGAAACATGATTGTAAGAAATGCGAGAATTTGAATTTTTCAAGAACAAACCAAGAATGAATAGTTTTTGTTCAAGTGAACAAAAAATCAGAGATTACTATGAGATATTTTTATTCATATGGGATAGAAATATCGCATAAAAATATCAGATATTTTTCATGCGTTGCATTGTTGTAACGCATCTGCAGTACAAAATTCATATTCCCTCCTGTGCCGGTATTCTGGAACACAATCCGCAAAAATCGTTCGGAATTATTTTTTTCGTACATAAGACCATATTGGAGTGAAAGAGAGAGATTCCACTATTTTTCAGTGTCCCACCGGAATTATTGCTCACACTCTTCCTTGAGTTATCGAAATGATTCCGGTGGGACGCTGAAAAATAGTGGAATCTCTCTCTTTCACTCCAATATGGCCTTACGTACGAAAAAAATAATTCCGAACGATTTTGGTGGAATGACTTAGAATACCGGCACTGGGTTCCAAGTCGAATTTGAGACTGATCTGAGCCGAATTCAGCAAAATTGACTTGGGACGCAGAAAGGAATATGAATTTTGTACTGCAGATGCGTTAAAACAACGCAACGCATGAAAAATATCTGATATTTTTATGCGATATTTCTATCCCATATGAATAAAAATATCTCATAGTAATCTCTGCAAAAAATCAACCTGTTTGGGAAAATTTGCATAGTTCAGTGATATATATTCAAAGCATAAACTTTACAATTCTTCAAGAAGTACAACATCAGTCATTCCTAAACTCATTCTTAGCTATATAGAAGTTTCCAAACACTGGATCGCCCAAACGGTATTTGTTTACTAATTCGGGTGTTGAAGTCTTTGCTCTGTATTCAAACCTGAAAATGATATGCAATTGATATTAGCCAATATCTAGCCTGCAGTTTGGCGGAATATTCAACGAAAAATTTGTATGATTAGTGCTTACGCGTTCGAATCGAATGTTTCGTTGTATTCGATGGTTCCGTTGCATTGTTTGAAAACCAAAAAGACATAACGGTGATAACCGCTGCTCATCGTTGGCGCTACGTTTTGAAAATGGAATTGATTAAAATAAGATGATTACCTAGCTGTCTGCTGGAGCAATGTAAGATTAACCCTAGTCTACAGTCCCTTTCCAAAACCTTATTCTACAGTCCTCGGGTCTGGCCAGACCCCATACATTTACATGCATTTGTATGGGAATTTGTTTAATGTATTATTGAATCTTTTTTATATTTGTTCATAAAGTAGATAAAAAAAATAAAAATGTCACGAATGTGCAAAATTGATTTTTGTGAGAGCGTAGCACGTGATAAACATCAATTTTATAAGTAAAAAATGTTTCTTTCATTACGGAACATTGTTGATGCGTTCAATTTGTCGCGTTCATGAGTGCGTCTAACGACGTAAAGAATTGAAATGAACTTCACTGAATGCGCTCATCGCAAATTCGTGTTTTACTTTTTTTTGTTAGTGTGGTGCAGGGGTTGTGCTGATAAGAGATAAAGGATATTTGTCTCCAGCAAAATTGTAGAGCAGGTCAAGCACTACAATTTTTTCAAAGATATTATCTTCTTATCTCTTATCAGTTCCGCGAAAAATGATAAGAAAAAATCGCGTTTTTTCGTGAAACTGATAACGGCTTGGTATCTTCGGTAAAGTTGTAATATTCAAGGTCTCCTACAAAATTCCTGACGGAACATATCGCTTATCTCTTATCAGTTACGCAAAATACGCGGAAAACCTAAAAAGAGCCGCGAGATAAACGCGTTTTTTCTTATCTTTTTTTCACGTAACTGATAAGAGATAAGGAATATGTGTTTTCAGCAAATTTGTAAGGCAGGTTGAGTTCTATAATTTTATATATACTACATTTCATTATCTCTTATCAGTTACGCGTAAAATCGCGAAAAACGCGAGTTATCATTTGTTTATCATTTACCATTTTTCGCAAAACTGATAAGAGATAAGGAGATAGTGTCTTCACAAAAAGTGTAGTACTTGGCTTGCTCTACAACTTTGCCGGAAGCAAATATCACTTATCTCTTATCAGTTCCATGAATAATAAGAAGGGGAATTTTCGTGATTTTTCGCGATTTTCGCGTATTCCGTGGAACTGATAAGTGATAAATGATATTTGTCTTGGGTAAAATTGTGATCATAGTGTAAAAACCGTCATTTCGATAAAAATTAGTTTAAATGCATCTCATATTCCCATACAAATGCATGTAAATGTATAGGGGTCTGGCCAGACCCGAGCACTGTGAAATAAGGTGTATTTTTTGGATATCCTTATTTCGTCCTTTTTTTGAAGGAAAAGGATACTTTTTTATTGCATAGATCGATAGCCAATAAAATTTTAGGAGGCTACCGAGAAGCACAAGTTGCTAGCTCAAGAAATGTGTTGAATTAACGTTTAAAAACGAAATATGTCTGGTCAGACCCGGGACTGTAGATTATGGTTAAATTATGGATTTGTTTCAAATTAAATCATTTTGTATTTTCTGTCGACGCATGGTCCGTCTGGCGCTTTAGTACATTCAGTATTAGTCGATTACACTTCCACTGATGCAGTATACCTGAACCACGGTAGGTCACCACCTCTTCTCCTTTTTGGACATCATTCCCTGGAATATTCACCACTAACCAATGTCGAAATGCGCCTATACATGGATATTTCCGTGAAGGTGCATCTAAGTCTATAAAGAGCAGTGTATATTTAGCACCCTCTTCGGCATTCCATGTAACTTTTGGCACACTTCCTACATCATCTGGTGCCAAGTCATTGCCTAAGCGAACAGTAGCGCCACTTGGATAAACCACCTTAAACGACAAAAACCAATATTCGTCAAAATGTTTTCATTTTACAATCCTTGTGAGTTTCTCACATTCAAAAACTTTTTCGGAGACACCTTCAAAGGTAAACTGCCTGGAATAATTTCATTTTCTTCGAATGCTTTTTCTACATCCGATGATGCATTGCAATTGAGTACGATCACCACGAATAATACTAAAATCGATTTCATTATAACTTTAGTGATAATTTAAATTAAAAATTAGAATTACAAATAGAGCAACTTTTGAAATTGGAACTTTCAAAGTGAGATGGCCAACTAAAGTTGAAAATTGCAACCTCAATGCTAACTTTATACTGTGAAAGAAACGTTCGCTGGATGGCATTTAAATAGCAAGCCTATTTCTGATTTTTTGTTTTGCGTAAGCAATTGCCATTAACACATCAGTTTCGTGTTGATTGCTCATGAAATACTCGTAAACGATAGAAGTGTGTCCACGATGAGTATTGCAAGGCACACGATTGTAATACGGAACGAACTTCCCATATACCTATAAAGAAAAATGTGAATGACGTTTGTCCAGTAATTACTTGCACGATTATAAACATACTTCATACAATCACAAAAACAAGGGTATTTGATTGAAAGGGTTTTCAATCCATCGGTTTCAATCTTTTGGATAGATATCGATTCAACATATAGCGTTATATTTTGTTCATCACAATTTTATAATATTAGACATGTTTATTGAATCTTGACGAAATTCCATCAATTTTGAATGTTTATTAGAGGAAAGGAAGTATTTCTTCAATTAATGAGTTGTTTTTGATTCTCTTCAGTCTCAATACACCCTCCATAACGTTCGGTTGTTTTGAAAATGTCAAAGAAAAGAAGAATTTTCCTTGGAAATATGGATACTTTGTTCGCCGAATTCAATGAGTCAGAAACGAGCTAGGTGTTGGTAGAGTTGAAACGAACTAACTCATACACGCATTGGGCGAAATATGTGTTGGTTCGTTTGGCGCCGAAATGACTCATGCAAACTCACCGAATTAACTTCGGTAGAAGAGCCATAGAAAAAAGTAGGCTTTTGACATATTCCAAAAGTCATCTGCAATCGTTCCAACCTAATTTCTCTCTGTGTATGCATTTAATTTGGTATCGTTACTCAAAGTAAAATTATATGTATGAATCGTGAACGTTTAAATAGAACTTGTGATACGTTGGCGAACATTCTGCAATTTCAAGCTAATTTGAAGTAGAAAGTCTTGCCAAATAACAGATCGTTATGTATTCTTTATTAAATTCCAATTTTTATCGAGTAACACAAATGACAGATCTAATGTTTAATTTCATCGTTATAAAATCTATTTATGCGGCGAAAATTTTATTGCACATTTCATTGTTTTTCTCGTTCAAATAATGCGTGATGCCAACAATGTTGTATTTGAATTTCTTTATCGACTTCACATGATGCCGAATTTCGGGAATGATTTGGTTTTTCTCCATTTCGTATCTGCGAATAAAATAAAAAAAGACATTTTTTAAATAGTTTTTGATGATTTTTCAATTTAATATTATTCACACACACCTGAAAACATCATCTGGTTGACTAAGTTGCATGCACAGAATATTTTCTGATGAGAAATCGACGTCGGTGTTGAGGTTAAGTTTCGGTTCTTTTTCCAAACTGAAACGAAGATCCAATGTCACGAAACCAGCATTCACTAAGATTTTACCCGCAATGTATAGACCGACACTGAAATTGTGATGAAATTCCAATTAGTTTTCCACTTCTTGAAAATATTCCTTTAAAAATATTCAATTTCTTACTTTTTATTGACCTGAATCTGTGCGTTTCTCCCCCACAGACTAAGTTGGATGGCGCCATTCAAATCGATTGACATTGCGCTCTCAATATCAATTTGAACGGTGGCTCCGTTTTGTAGTTGCAACGATTCATGATGATCATGTAGCACTGTGTTTGCGAGGTAGGCAGGAGTTGGTTCCGATGCGGTTCCACTCCATACATGACCCATCAGCTCTCCTTGTCCACTGAAAAATTGCAATGGCCGCAGATACGATCCTTGAACGGTGATTTCCATACCAGCGTTGGCAGCTTCGTCGGAAACTTCTTCGTTTTCGTCATTGGAATTGCTAACAAATGACGTCAATCCACCTGAATATAGTCCCAACTGTGAAAACGGAACAGAATTAGCTCAGTCAAATTCAATAAAAGTAACAAAAAATGATTAGGCGAATCGATTCAAAACCTATTCCATACCGTAAAATAGCTGTAACTGCTTTTCGGTGAATCGATGGTCAGGTCGACGCCGCCTCGTTTCAGAATTCCACCAAAAATCTCTTGAATGCTGATGAGAGTTGCATTGAATGGTGATCGAACCGAATACTTTCGCGACAATGCAGTTGTCAGTCCCTTTTGGCCGATGATATGATAATTATTCAATTCACTGTCACTCTTAATGATTCGTTGAGCTTTCTCATTGATGTCATCATTCTCAGCACTGAACATTCGAACCATTTCCAATAAGTATTTCTTCACTTCGAATGCACGGTCGGTCGTCTTCAAATGTGACAGCAGTTTTTTCAATTGTTCTTCTGTGAGTTTCGAATTCAACACAATATCCAATGCGAGTGTTCGAACGCTGGAATCGAAAGTGTTTTCCACTTGGTAAAATATATCTTCAAAACGTTGAATATGCTTTTGATTCCAAACAGAAGCTGGGAAACTGCCAAGTGCTTTCATTGCTGCAACAGAAATCGATCGGTCGGTGTCATTCACATATTCAAAGAGTTGCTCAATGAAGTGGATCGATTGCAAATTGTTGATGCCATTCAAATATTGCACAAAACACGGTGCAGCAGTGCAGCCGGCGATCGAATCATTAAAGTAATTTTGCACTTTGACAACAACATCACTGAAGTAGTTTTGATTTGGTGACTGAGCAAATCGTCTTGCCGTCGAGCCAAGCGTGTGAATGATTGTGGTTTTGACTTTTTCCACAATCGATTCGTCGTCAACAATTTTCAATAAGTCAAGAATTATCGCAGGACTTGGTCGAACACCGACAGCCAATGCCTGTAAATATCGTTCGACATTGTCAACTTCAGCATCGTAGTGGAAGTTGATGGCTTTTTTAACGGCTTCATGTGCGTCTACAGTGCTGGCTGCTCCCAGAATGTCCAGAATTTGAGGCTGAAAATGCGAAAAACGAAGAAATTGTTATTTCAACGTTATAATAGCCCATGCATTATTTTAATGGGCAGCTCTTGCCCATTTGGGCAGTTCCAAATCCCAAACGGGCAGCTCAAAACTCAAAAATGGGCAGTTTTACTTAAATTTTCTTGAAAATGGGCAGCTCTACCAATTTCTTAAAATAATGCATGTAATAGCCTTTGGTTTAATATGAAAATTTATCAATTTCATTGAAAATACCTTGATTTCTTGCAATTTCTTCGCCTTAAGCAATGGGACAATCTCTTCCGTCTTCGCAATCCGAGCTATTGGCAAAATATTGAGGAATGCCTTTGCTGATTGAACCGTACCAATGTTCGAGGTAGCCAATGCGTCTTCGTATTCTTTGATTGCCTTCTTCAAATTTGAGTTGAGTGGCTCATCAAGAATTTGTGGGCTCGTTTCGAGTGTTTCACCTTTATAGTTTTTCAACTGTGACAAAAATTCTTTGGGTGTTTTACTATCAGCCCTGCTAACTTTGGTCAAGTGTCCATCGGTCCGAAGTACAACCAATGAGTCAATGCTTCCTCCAATCTCACGATTTGCTTCTAAAGCAATGTGAAAATAGTCGCGGCTCTCAATTTTCTCAATGGATCCATCCGGAAAAAATTTATAGTCAGTGCTTCGATAGTTTTGGGCGCTGGCTTGCAACGGTTGCTCTGGACGAACGATGCGTGGTGTTTTTGTTTCGAGTACGCAGTTTTGTTTAAGCCGTCGAATCGCAGTATGAGCCGTATCTTTGTAGCTCACTTCACATCGTCCTGATGCTCGATTTTCCGTGTAAACACCTTCGCTCGTTTTGTACTGAAAGAGACTCACAATTGACTTCTTGACATTCGTCAAAGCGGCATTCTCTTTCGCATCATAGTAAATGTCGCTGATGTTTCCCAAATTCCAAACGGCATAAAAATCATTGTTTTTGTAATTGTCCAACGGCGACTTGTGATAGTTGAATTCCGTTTGTGAATCAGATCCATGTGGTCGAACATTCAATTGCGGCGAATCCAATGTAAATTTCAACAGTTTTTCATCGTCTACAGTCAAAATGTTCGCCACATGAACAGTTCCAACCAGACGATAAGCCACCGGTCTGCCATTTTTGAAATCTTTTATGAACACATTATTTGAGAACTCATATGAGTATTGGTCACCCTCCGGAAATACATTCTGATGTGCACCAGCTGAGAAGAATTAAAAAAAACAGAATTAATAAGCAGTTTTATCACAGAATTCTGTATTTTAAAACGATAATTACCGATTTTATAATCGGTTATGTTTCATTTGAAATATTGTAAAGCAAGAATCAAAAATCTTGAAAACTTAATTCACAACAAAAATAAACAAAAATTCATTACTCTTTATCGCAAAACATGTAACTCCCTACTTGTTTCCACCAAAATACAGTTGCCATGAATTATAAAACGATTTTGTTTTCGAAATCTGTCTTTAGTTTGTGAAGTGTAATCAGTCTCAAAGGACTTTGAACAAACATGTTTGCGCTGTCGTTAGTTGTGATTTTGCTGGATTTTTCATTCTTCAACTTTTTGAATCAAGTGTTCGAAGATTGAAATTAGTTACGTTTGAGAAGAGGAAAAAATGTTCAAACAGCACGTTTAAAATGAAAAAAAACAGCAGATTATCCCATAGTTTTATATAAGAAAAAAGGTGAACGAGTCGAATTTTATTATTTTATCGAACTGATTTGAAATATCACAAGAATTTTGCAAAAGCTTATAGTGTGAGTTAAATGAAAAATTGACGTTAAAACGAAATGTTTCCTATCAGTCACTGGTAAAATGTTGAAAAATATAGAAAATTCGAAAAAATATTGATAAATATGAGGAAATAACTTGAATAAAAATGAAAACAAGCGAATATGTGAAGAAATATATGGAATAACTCCGTTGAAATCTTGAAACGCGTGCAAAATGTAAGAAAAAAAAACCGCCGGATTATTATAATTTCAATGAGCTCAGCAATTTCGACGCCATTCTCAGAAGTGTATTAGTGTATCACGTACATCAACAAATCGGGATGTAACATTTTGTGTCCGTATCAAAAGTCGTTTTGACTTTCAGTGACTGAGGTTATCACCGACAAATCTGTGTTTCAAGTGGGCAGCTATTTTGAACGTAATGTGACCGTAACAACGAACTTTATTTGATGATGTGTCTCTTTCTCTCTCTCTCTCTCTCTTTATGTGTCGGTATTTCGAACACGATTTTTTCCACTTTATTCTATTGCACTGAACTCTCGCAAGTCAATGGATAAATTTCGATAGACTCACAAACATTGTTCTTGGTTTTTGTGAATAAATTATTATCATCGTTTTTATGCCTAATTCGTTGATATCCAATGAAACTTACCAACAACTAACACTATCGATAAAACAAATGCACTTAAATTACGTATCATTTTTTTGAAATTTACAATCGAATTGGAATAAATATTTGCTCATAGATTTAGTGAGTAAATCAATTGATTTTGTTCATATTTATTAACAATGGATTTGTGTGAAAACTATTTCAAAATTTAAAAAGAAATATAATCACAGTGTGTTACGACAACAGTACACAAGCAAACGGAATGACAGACTGACTTGAACGAATTCTATAGAAAATAACTGGAGCCAGCTCAGTTAGCGCTAGACATTTCTTTTCTTTATCTACCCAAAACGAAGCGGACGAGAGCCAATAACAATAAATATAGCAACAGCAACAACAAATTAGACGCACGATTTGTTTGTAGACTCTTCGTTACATCGGTTTGTCTCGTTCGAACACACATTTCGAATAGCAGTTGATGCGACTTTTGACGCTTCCGTGCCGGCTTTTTTCGTTCAGCACTGAACAATCACAAAAGAGACAAACGCATGCCATTTACGGTGCGGTCCGATTATATTGCGCACTCGTCAGTTGACACGAAAGAGACGGCGCGAACGAATTCAGTCGTTTCGTTATAGAATGAACGAATTATTTCGGTATTCCTCTTGAATTGAGAGTCTGTTCCAAAATTTCATTGTGTCAACTGTGAAATGTAAACATTTTCCATTGTCCATTCGATAAACCATAGGCTAAAAGGAATTAAACCATACAGAGAGCACCAAATCTTTTTGTCGGTGAATAGAAATGAAAAAAAAAATCATTTTGTATCCAATCTGTTGGATGAATCTCAATTAACTTTACTGAGACTCTCGTGAAATGTAAATATTTACTATTATCAATTGGATTGATTTTCGATTGGTAAACTCTCAATATATCCTACCCGTATATCGAATATGGAAAGACCAATACAGAGATCACCTCAATGGAACTAAACTCCGTTCCATACACAGAATACCTTTGCCATAGCCGTCAAGCAAGTGTATCGGAATTTGTGTCATATCTGTTCTTGTTGTGTTTATCAAAATGTTCGAAACGCGATGATGAAAATCGACCAATGAAAATGCGTGTTTGAAAGCGAGCCTACTTGAATATCGAATCGGATGGAAAACGTTGTCACACGCGGTTGTTGTTGCTTTTGCCTTTGCTGTAACATTTATATCAATATCACTGTTAAATACAAGCAGCTATGGGAATTTCAACGCAATTCATCGTGACACAACGCACACACTATCAGCTCACTTGTCATGCTACTGCCATACCTCAATACATATACACTTAATCGAGTCATACACACAAGTTGTGCACATCTAGTACTTCAGTTTGACGTTCACGTACTCACTTTGAGCCGTACACTGTTAATGAAGAAAAAGAGAAAAACTACGACGATGACGACCATACATCATCGTCCGATACACCGTCAAATGTATTGTGATACGCTTGTATTATATGGCACACGCACACACACACACACACACACACCAATACATGCGCATGTGTCGTATTGAATCAATACCATCGAACCATGAAATCACACACGTTAACTATTGCCTCAAGAGCCAAATTATTCAGTATAGAGCTGAAGTGAAGTGTATAAAGTAGTAAACAGCGAAACTTCTTCATCGAAAAACCGTAAACAGATCAAACGACAGAGTGTGAGAAGAAGAAGAAGTAAAACTACATTGGAATCATATGAAAATATAAAAAAATCACAATTTTTGTTTTCTTCCGTCAATTCGGTGTGAGCATAACGTGAATTTTGTTATTAGAACAGCATTTTATATGCTGAAACTCGCCAATCGAGATACGCAATACGAATAGAAGTGAAGCAAAAAAAATATTACCAGGCGAAAAAGAATCAGTTGATTTACGCGGCTCGAGACAAAATGTCATAAAAGTGTATAATTCTCATTTTTTTTCGTCATTTCTCCTTGTTTCTTCTCTGATTGCCCGTTTTTAAGTGTGAAAAGAAAGAGAAATAAAAGAAAACGAAGATCAAATTGAATTGTGTTTGCGATAAATTGTTTTATATATTGGGTAAATCGAATATTTAATAACTTTTTTTCCATAATTATTTTTTCTTTACTTTTTTGCATTGCATCAAGTGGAAGTGTGTGTGTGTGTGTGTGTGTGTTCGTACGAAATGAAACGAAAAGAAAAGAAAGAGAAACGAAACAGAGAAAAAATAATGAAGGCGATTGTGGTTAGTTTTTAGTTGGTGAAACCGAAATATTTTTCATTGGTGTTTAATAAGCGATACTTTCGCGCGACGAACAAGGGTTGGTTCGCATGATGTGACGACGAAAAACAAAATCATTTTTGGTATGATGCGACAGACATCACATGCATGTCTTGTTGTTACAATCGATGAAACACTAATTGGTGGATGAATCAGTTTTTTTTCCTATTTTTCATTTGATCCGAAGTGATTTTGTTACGGTTACCTCGATACTGACTGTCATTAGCGCACCAACGATATACATATATGCATGAAATAAACAAATCCGCATCAGCGCACACACACATCGAATTTCATACATGAAAAATGATTAAAGAATTCACAATGTTGATTTTTCGTTCGCTCGTTCGTTTCGCTGCTGACTGAAGAAGATCCTGCATTTTTCTGCTCCGCTCTGAGAAAAACGCGGAATGTTTAAAAATAATTACCACAAAACAACGAAAATAGTCATAAATGAAAGTCGTCAACAATGAACAGACAAGCGAAAGACAATGCGCAAAACATATAGGAGAAAAAAAAGAATGAAAAGAAGCGAAGCAAAAAGAAGTAGATTGAAAAGAAGAAAAAAATACGGCAAAGAGATGAAAAAATATCAAGAAGAAAAGTATATGTGTGTATATACAGCAATATCATTTTTTCTTTCTCTCTCTTTCGATTTTTGTTCGGATGTTGTGCTGAGATTTCTTGTTTTCATTTATCTGCATGTAAATTTTGCTTTATTTGTCTTTGACAACATCAACAAAGAATCTGCTCATGACATATGATATATTGAAATGTCTTTTGATGTACGGCAATATTCCGAACCGAACTCTTCCACCCGTTTCGTGGCCTGCCGATGCTGCTATCGAATACGGCTTACGCGGCGGCGGCGACTGCCTGCGGCTCAAAGAAAACTTGACTGAATTTTTGCAGTGAGTAGAAATTGAGTATCAATGCGAGTGCAAAAATCGACACAATATTGATAAAAATGTGAATGAGATAGAGACCCACGACCCACCACGTACCCGCAACCGAGTGAAGAGCGAACAAAGCGAAAATACACGCAGCTCTCGCGAGCACTAATTTTTTTTCTTCTCTTCTTCTTCTACTCTGTGCCTGTTCGTTGTATTGTTGTTGTTACTTCTGTTGTTGCTGCTTCTTTCGTTTTTCAATTTTTTTTCCTTGCGTTCTCACTCGCTCTATCGACGAGTTTACACAGAAAAACTGTGTACGAATTGCATGTGTAAAAATTGTTTATGACCGATTCGTATGGTGCAAGGAACGAAAGAACGAGCGCGAACCATTTCATAGATGGGTGTATGAGAAGATTGTGTGTATATTGTATGTGAGGCAAGAGACAGTACATGAGATAAGCAAGCAGTGCGGATCACATTTTTTTTTCTTCAATCGCTCGCTTCGTTCGCTGTTGTTATTCTATACTTTAAACAGCACATATGAATATGTTTGCATATACATCGATACTAAAAATCACACCGACTACATGAAAATATAGGCATATCGGTGTTTATTATTTTTCGTGCTCTCTTTATTATTAGTCGTTTGATTCGCGATTTTCGAAATCACTCAGTGTGTTTTTTTTTGCTATTCTTCTCTCATTGCTCGGTGTGGCCGACTCGGTTCAATTGCTGGCTGCTGCTGTTTTCTTCTTGTAGTACGATGTAACTGATTGTGGACCACAATCATTTTTTTCTTCATTTTAGTTCTTGTCATTTTCACACGATTACCAAACAAACGGTTCAAACGACCGAAGCGGTTTCAACCGAACAGCAAAAAAAAAAAACAGTCAACAATATATGAGAAATATATGAATTACATGGAAGAAGAAAAAAAAGTCAGCAGCCAAAACGACAACAACAACAATTGCAAGGCAACGCGTGAAAGACGAGCAGTGAGAGTGTGCGATACGCGCACACGCAATAATAACTATATTGTGGACGGGCACAGCAAAGGCGATATGTGTACTGCTTTGTACTGTGTGTATTACATGGGCTTCGATTCCAATTTTTTTTTTCGTTCGCTCGCTCGCTCCTCTTCTTCTTCTTCTTTTTCTTTGTCTCTATCCTTCTCAATGCTTTTCATTCCGTCGTGTGTATTCCGTTGTGTGAACTGTTTTTGCGCGTTCGCAGTGTTGTGTGTAAATAAAATTGCGAGAGAGCAAAGCCTCTGTGTCCCAGTGGTTCTTGGTTGTCGACAAGCAAACATAAAAATTCACCAGCACACCGACTAACACGACTCTCTTTTGCTCTCTGTCTCTCGCTGTCGCTCGCTCGCTTACTCCGTGTGTACAGTACACACAGCCATGCGAACACAGAGAGTGCGAGAGAGAGAGAGAGCAACACAATGTACGATTATTTGATGAACAAAATCGCAATCAAACATTGAATGTGCTCTCATAAGTTTGCGCGCACACATTGGAAGTGGTAGTGTACCTTTTTCTTCTCATCAGACAACAGTAGTAAAAATAAGAGAAAAAAGCACACAACAACGAGAAATTCCTTTTGGATTTCGCCACTAACAGTTTATTTTTTCTACCATTCATATACAAATCGGATTTTTATACGGATTTGTATTCGTACACACATTGTGAAAATAGCGATAGAGGAAAAAAAACGAGAATTAGAAATACCGTCAAGTCATTTGTGATGTTAGTCAACTTTATTTCATGAGAATCCCGTTTTGCACTGTTCGATGAGTAAGTAAAAAAAACGACCCGTGATTTAGCGAAAATACAACAACAACAAAAAACGAATAACTTGAAAAAATTCAATGACTAAAGCACAAACCAAACGATTAAATTTGAAAAGAAAAAAAAAAACGCGAAAGGTGCATTTAATTTATAGTGTATTGTGGACAACAACAACAAAAGAGATGAACTACGCGAACACTTTTTCGCTCGCAAAAATGAAAACTTAATAAGCAAAGATATGACAAATGAACAAGAAAAAAATACACATTTTTTCATCGCTGTTTTTGAAGGCTGTTTAAAACAGAAAAAAAAATAATCAGATTTTTTTTTGTAGTTTGTCGTCGCTACGAAAAAAATCGGTTGTGTGTGCACATCGTGATTTTTACCCAAATTTTCAGCACATTTATTTACATTTTTATTGCTTTCGTTTACATTACAAGTGAGCTGTAGTTGTTGCTGTTGGTTTTTCCTTTTTTCTCATTCACTCGTGGTGGATAAATCAGATGGTTTCGGCAAATGACGCGCGTGTGTATGTGTATGTGAGTGTGTAACACACAAACGACAACCAATATGTAGAAGTGACTTTTCATGTGAGTTCTAAAAAAAGCGACGTTACGTTTTAAGGCCAACATCAAAGCAGTTCAAGCATTTGTAATAAACACTGAAACGTCGTTGTTTTCATGTGTTTTATGTACGCATTGTAAGAAGCTCGCCTTCCAAAACCTAGGATATCATCTCATGAATTGAGATGCATACAAATACACTGCAACTTCCGCAATATGAACCACATACCGTAGACTACCTACAAAAAAGCAGTCGATTTTGGTAATGTCAATTGGAATTACAACCGAAACCGTAAACGGCCGTCGATTATGAAATGTGCAAACTGAACGAAACACACACACAGGGGCAGAAGAGAGAGAGAAAGAGAGAGAGACAGAAAAATTGCATACAAAAACTAATTGGAATGATTAACATTTCTGTAGTTCGCTGAACTGAAATCAAAAAGACACGCGACATATAAGGTTCTCGCAGCGTGCGACACCGACAACGACCATGACGGCTGCATTCAAATTTAATTTACATAAATAATTTATAGTGACCATTAGCAGGCTTAATTGACATAGCTCAGTAAAAACGGAAGCAAATGAAATCGACAGACGTAGAGTGCGTGCGAGCGAGTGGCTTGACAAGTGAACCACTCGAAAAAAGCTCGAAATTTGAATGTGGCTTTCATTTAATATTGATTGATGATCGATTGGAGTATGAGTCATACACCGTATGACATGTCATCAACATTTTCCACCTCATAAAAACGCATTGCACGTGCTGTGACTATGATCTCATTTTTTTTAAAGAAGAAAAAAAACAACAAAATACACCTCGACGGCAGTATTGTGCATTCGAAGCGTGTTTTCGATTTCAAGTGTTTTTCAAAAGCCGCCTAATGTCATTCCCGTATTTCAAATAAATTTATTGGAATTTTGATTCTGATGAAGGCAGAAAAAACACACACGCGAGACAGAATGTGTATGGTATGTTTCGTAAATAAACTGGTAAAATATTTGACTCACACCGTTGACTTGCTGAGATTTCGTCGAAAACAAAAGGCCGATGAGATGAAAAACAGATTCAAACATTTATCTCTATTTTTCTTTCGTAAATATGTTTTCATTCTGAAATATTCTCAATACGAAAAAGAAGAACAGACAAAAAAAACACGCAAATATTCACAGTGGAAATTCCTGTGAGTGCAAAGCTTGAAAAAGCCATGCACACATCCGAGTCGCGTTGCGAAGTGAACGGAGAGCGGAAAAACGGCTCCATGCTTATTCTCGTATCGCGATTGTTGTTTTATAGCCAGTATCGTTGACGCATATCGATTTTCCTTGTCGCCCGCAAAACCATTCCATCGAATAGAATCCGCGCTCGGCTCTTCAATAAATATTTCCATTTCTGTGTTGTTTCTGTTTCTTTTTTCTGCCTCTCTTCAATCGTGCACCAGTCAAGCGAACCGTTGTGTCAAGAATTTTCCTCATCGTTTGTTCGTGTCGTTGTTTTTTTCTGCCCCGAATGGGCTGTTTGGTGTGCGCCAACCCATTTTTATCGGTATTGTTGTCACATATACGCGCCTACACACTAAAAACGCTAAATATATGATTATGCGTTTTACTGTCACTTGTGCCTTGTTTTTCATATGATTTGTCGTGCTTATGAGTCGTTAGAAAATTGCCATTCGGTCGTAGAACTGATTCTCGGCACAGCCCATTCGTTCGCATGTTCGTTTACGCAGCTTCAACAGTGGCAGTGACAACAACAACGACTATGTCTCAATTCGATTAGCATCTCAATTATTTGTACGTGCTCCGCACAAATTGACATGCATTTTGAATATGGTAGTCGCTGTTCCTTCTTGTCGCTTCGGTTTTCGGAAGAAAAAAGAAACAATACGACAGAGTTCGCCAAATCTCATTGCCAAATTTTTGTTTGTTTTTTGATTTGACACGAAAAATTACTTAACATGATACACACTAGTTGTAAATATGGAAGTGGAAATGTTGTTTGATAAAGCTCAAAATCCATAAGCAAACGTACACATAATATTGTTGTATGTATATCTTATCGTTGAAGTTATTTGCTTGGGCTGACGCTCGCTCGTGCCATCCACTATTGCTATCGACATCAAGAGAGTGTTTGGTATATTTCCATATACATATTTGATGTATGCACTAACAATATGCACCTGACTGGCAATTTTTCATTCGCATTTATTGGCCCCGTCCAAAGGCACACTTTACTATATGCAATTTTATCAGGGAAAAAATGTTTAACGATAAAATTGTATCGAGCTCAGTGAACAACGAACAACAACAAAAATGAAGCGAACTTTTCGCTTTTGATCGATGATGGCACTAAACTGCAAGTTGCTGACCACAAAATGCATTTATTTTGGGTAGAAAGCTCGTGTTGAACCGAACGATATTGGTTTCGTCAGCAAATATCGCTATATCAACAACTGCTTGGCTAATAAATTAATTAATAAAATTATAGAAGAGTTAAATTTGTTTAAGTGGAAAGCAATGATGAACATGTTCAAACTCAATTTGTGTGGTGCGCTTGAATTGCGATCGAATCTCGTAATAAAATTAGAGCTGATACTCTTGAAAATGGCGCCGGCGAACTGAAATTTTCGCTTCAAATATTGTGCTGCTTTGAACTCTCTGCCTCTCCCTCTCCCTCTATCTCGAACTATTACGCATTTATATGAAAATTATCGGCTATGAGCTCATTTCGAATAAACATTTTTTTTGCTCTTCTTTCTGGTTCAGTCTTTTCATAAAATTCCGTCAATTTTCTATATTGCATAAATGATATTGTTTTGTGCTGAAGCCAACAATTTGTGCCTCGTTTTTTTGTTGTTTTTGTTTTAATCTAAAGAATATATAACACTATAATCACATATTTGAAACAAGTAATCACAGTGCCGTTACGTGTGACAGTGGTGGTTATTGCTTAAACAGTACTTACTAATCAAAACACCAGTGTGTTCGAAGTAGTTATCAATATTTTCGCGTCTGACGAAAATCACAGGAAAAAAAATCAAATTAATTACCCGTCTGATCACATGTGAGTGAGTAAATAAACCATCAAGCAACTTGAAAACTGTACAGAAAGAAAAACAATAAAACGAGAAAATGCATGTCTTTTCATTTTCTATTTTTATCAAAACTGTGTTTTGTTCGCGTTCAAGAGTCTCAGCACAAATACACAAACACTTGTGTGCGAGTGTATACAATGTGCCGCTTTGAAACCGTGAACGTGATAAGAACGTCAGTTTTTTTTTCTTCCTTCATCGCTATTCATCGTCATTATTCTTATTGACACACGTCATTTTCGTACGTCTATTGGTAAATGGTTCTTTGCGTGAAATCGGAATCGGCTATAAAGCTATAAATGTTCAGCGTTGTATGTGATGAGCAGCACTTTATGCGTGTTCTAGAAAGCCAATGACAGAGTTGAATGCGATTGATTAAGAGGGCAACCGACTGAATAAAAAGAACCACACAACGAATCTGTGCGCACAAGAAAAAATATGAAGGTCTATTATCCAATCATTTGCAATTTTGAATGTTATTGCTTCAATGACATTCGTTTGATCCTCTTTTTTTTCTCGAATGAATGCTTATTGTGCTGCCCCGGCGCAGTTCATCAGCTCATCAACGCAAATGAGATGAAAATTTTCATCATAATTTTTTGTTGTTCTGCCAAAAAAAGACGATGATGAAGCACATGCAGCAGCATTTTTGAAACCATTTCGGTAATAAATCTTCGTTTTGCATTTCTTTTGCCTTGACGCAAATTGCGGCTGCTTTCGGGAAATTTGGGGAAAAAAAACACACACACAGTGATACTTCGTGGTAATCAAGCGGTGAGCTACTGCTGTTGATGATTGTGTGTTGTAGCACATGACTATCATGAAAAGCGTGTTTGCTTTTGTGTGCCACTGTTGAATAAATTCATCTGCGAGAGAGAGAGAGAGAGAGAGAGAGAAAAGCCTGATCTCAAAAAGTGTATTCACTTCATCACGATGAAAACATTTTTTTTCTTCTAAAAATAAATTTTCCTATACACTTGTTGGACTTGTTTTGTATACATGTATCTTCCCTTTCGCTCTGTCACACGCTGTGTGTGTATTTTAATTCGCAGCGAGCTTGTTTCTTTCATCGAACAAACAAATTTTCCTTCTCATCGCTCAATTTTTTCTTGCTTCGTTTCGACCGATATTTCCTGTTGACCGTAGTTGTGTTGTCATTTGAAAGAATTCTGCCTCATTTCATCCGTTCGGTCATTTCGTCGAAGAAGCAGCTCAGCGAATGCGACGAGAACAACTGATCGGCACCGGTTGCTTGAGTGAGACAGAGAGATGGTTTGTGTATATTTTATTGGCAAGATAATTCCAATTTTAAAATAAACTCAACACGAAAATAATATTCAGCATTCGAGCG